TGTTGTTCCAAACCCGTAAGACCTTCGTTCATCTTCGGAACACAATTTAAGATATTTTTGATGAAATCTGAGGGCTCCGAGTTACGAAGCTACGAGAATACTTTTTTGCACAAAAAAAACAAAAATAACGACTTTATTCCACATTTTCGTCTCTACTGCGTCACTTTGGATGCGCGTTCACGACAGTATCATGACGCGAGCGTGTGGCGGCACTTCGTAACTTTACAGTTGAACCACTGATGTCACACGGACTACTTTGTCGATCATCTTGGTACTTTTCTGGACCTTGAACGTGGTAGTTACCTTGCTGTCTATGGGAGGGTCAGAGAGCCCTCAGATTTCATCAAAAATATCTTCAATTGTGTTCCGAAGATGAACGAAGGTCTTACGGGTTTCGAACAACACGAGGGTGAGTAATTAATGACAGAATTTTCATTTTTGGGTGAACTAACCCTTTAACTGATTCAAAGCTTCAGAACCCATGATTTCTCCCGTCTGCTTATGTAAGTTGGATCATACCTGCTTCTCAGCTTCTGCACCTCCCTGTCCTCCTCTTCCTTCAGTTTGGTAATAAAACTCTGCAGGACAGGCATCTCAAATTTGATGTACTGCGCCACCTAGAGCAGTGGAGAGCAACTGCAGTCAGAATTTCTTTGCATGTTTCAGCATCACAACATGAACATAAACTTGAATTTCTAAGTAGATCAACCCTCCTTCACACACACTCACTTCATAGGGAATCTCCTCTCCCAGATCCTGCTCCATGAGAAAGATCTTGCAGACGTGCTCACATGGTCCCTGAAGTATTCTCACTACTAACGGGTAGTCTGTATGCTTCAGCTGAACACGCTCTGAAATATATAACACGTTTTGTACATATACAACTAGATTAGATACAATTTTCTGTAGAAAATGAAGAAATGTAAGCAGTATATAGGAGAGCAGAAAATGTAAGTGGTGACTGAGTGTGCAAAACTGGCCAGCACCATGATACTAGTGTGTTGTGGGAAGTTGCCAAGATAGCAGAGTTGCTATCTGGTTGTTAAAATGTATGCATATGTGGTTGCATACTGGGACAAACAGTAAGGCTGATGTTAAAGTTGCCCACTTTAACATCAGCCAGGTAAATTTTTATATCATTCATATCTGTAGCACAAACATCAAGTTTAATACTAAAACACTACTTATCAAATGTTTGGAATAATACAATTTTTAATGTTTTTGAAAGAAATCTTTTATGCTCATCAAAGTACGATTATTTAATCAAAAATACAGTAAAACAGCAATATTGTAAAATATTAATTCAATTTAAAATAATTTCTTTCTTTTTTATGTAATTTAATCCTGTGTTGAAAACTGAGATACATTTTTTCAGGATTCTTTGATAAATAAAAAGTTCAAAAGAACAGCATTTATTTGAAATATAATTTTTGAACACTATAAATGCATCCCTGCTGTATAATAATTTTTTTTTCATCTTACTTTATTTACTTACTTTTTTAAACTTTTGAATTGTAGTGTATCAGGTTTCCACAAAAATATGAAAAATAATAAAAAAAATAGAATAAGAAATATATTGGAATTATTTCTGAAGTATCATGTGACACTGAAGACTGGCGTAATGCCTACTTAAAATAAATTAAATAAATAAATTACATTTTCAAAAATATATTCAAATAGAAAGCTGCTATTTTAAATTGTAATAATATTTCTCAATATTACATACACAATTTTTTTAACTTCATCAAAAAAATGCACCCTCGGTAGGCATAACACACTTCGTTCAAAAACATTAAAAAAAAATCTTAATTATTCCAAACTTCTGGTAGCAGTATAATAGTTATTATTATTAGTGTATATTGATTTTAGCCTCCAATATCATATAATAGTCATGTTGTTCTCTGTCCACTAGATGGCGATTAAGTGTTCCACAGTCAAGTCATTTATTAACTGGACAATAAAAGCAGACAGCAGCTGACCTCCGCTGGCATGAACGAGATAGAGGGCGAACTCATCTGGGCTGTTCTCGATCTTAAACTTATTCAGTAACACCCGCAGCACCTGTGGTGTGGTCATACAGCTGTTGATCCGTGCGTTAGTTACAGAACCATATGCAGGAGTGAACACAGATGTCTGAATAAAAGAGAAAGAGGAACGAGAGATTGCATGACTGAGATGACTGAACATATGCTCAAACAATCACACACACACGGACACACACACAAATAAAAGAGAAAGAGGAACGAGAGATTGCATGACTGAGATGACTGAACATATGCTCAAACAATCACACACACACACACACACATCTGAATAAAAGAGAAAGAGGAACGAGAGATTGCATGACTGAGATGACTGAA